TCCTCCTCCTCCTCCTCCTCCTGCTCCTCCTCCTCTTCTTCCTCCTCCACCGCCTCCTCCTCCATCCTCATCCCTCCTCCTCCTCCTCCTCCTCCTCCTCCTCCTCCTCCTCCGCCTCCTCCTCCTCGAGTCGCCCACGGCCTCAGGGGAAACCGTGCAGGCTGGGGCACGTTGTTGGTAGGTGCCAGTGGTGATAGGCGGCCGCTCTGAGGGAGGGCCGCGAGGGGAGCCGCGGCGCGGGGTGGCGTCGGCCCGTGGCTGCCTGGTCGTCGGGCGTGTGCGTCGGTCGGTCGACGTACGGCCGGCGGACGTCGGCGGCGGGTGTCGGCGTGTTGTCGTCTGACCGTCGGTGGACGGCCCAGGATGGATCTCTGGAGTTCCCCGCCGCCTCAGTCGAAGTGAAAAAGGCGGCGTCGACACAGTTTCTCGGAGGTCCGCGCGGATTGCTTCTGGCGGCGCCCGGGGGGGTGGTCCAACGCCGATCCAAGGAATCCGCGCGGATCTCCGACAAGTTATGTTTATGCCGTTCCTTGTCGCTCCTCTACTCGGGCGGTGTGGCTTCAGAGCACGAGCGCAGCAGAGCCACACACGTGTCAGATGCTCTAGCGGCCAAGAGCACAGCAGAGCCCCAGGACAGCGAAGAGCTGAGCTCAGCACGAGCATAAGTGGCCGGGGAGCCCCCGCGGCATGTCCACGAGCGTGGCTCCACCCCGGCGGCCGTGGACGGAGGACGCGCGGAGTGCACAAGGTGCACAGAGGGGGGCTCGGAGGGAGAGCCGAGCGAGAAGAACGGCGCGAGTCCGTGCAGAGATCTCGGCCCAGCCTCAAGTCTGGCCTGTCCCTCTACAGGAGGAATAAATTCCAAAGCAGTCCAGAAATCATCTGGGGACAATGTTTCTATTATCTGTGAGCATTTGGGGGGTAGCTTTAAGACTACCTTTACCTTTCGCCCAAAATCCGCCTGGAGGGGGACACGCCCGACTTGAGCCCAGCCTCTTTCTGGCATGGATGATCCACACACACACCCCGTGTCGGGTCGGCGCAGCAGTAGCAGTTGAAGCAGTTAGAACAATAGCAACAGCCCCATTTATATGACTAGCAGTAGTTTGATTGTTGTTGGTAATCTCCCATGGATATTCCACCCACCCACCTGTCTCGGGCTGGCGCTGGACCCCCGGTGGCGGCGCCTCGGGCGAAGGATATCCTGGGGCGCGCTCCGCGCAGCAGGGGAGGGGGTCTGGCGCGGACCTCTAAAACAGGGCCGGGCTGGGCCCAAACGGTGCTTGGGCGATCTCGTGGGCAGCGTTCGTCTCGATGTCGTTCTGTTGCTAGAGGCGGACGGAAGGCAGAACGAGGGAACGCGAGAACGAAGAGCACCGTTCGGGTGCAGCCCTGCTCTAAAAGCGGTTGCCTAAACGGTGTTTTGGCGATCTCGTGGGCAGTTGTCGTTTCGATGTCGCTCTGTTGCTAGAGGCGGACGGAAGGCAGAACGAGGGAACACGAGAACGAAGAGCCCCGTTCAGGTGCAGCCCTGCTCTAAGGATTGCTCGAAGGTTTTTGTTGCAATCCTTCGAGTTTTTTGCAATCCTTCGCTGCAATCCTTCAAGGCTGGTGGCCGTGCAGCTTTTTCGATTCTTCTGCCGAACGAGGGCCAGCAGGCCAGCCACGCGGCGCCCATGGGGGGAGCAGCGCTCGGAGCCCGGAGGGCCCCCCAGAGGAGGAGGAGGAGGAGGAGGAGGAGGAGGAGGAGGAGGAGGAGGAGGAGGAGGAGGAGGAGGAGGAGAGGGGGGGCCCCATCACAACACGATCTGGGCCCCCGAGCATCGTCTCACCGATCCCCAGGGGGGGCGCCGGACGGGGCCGGGACGGGGATGAGTCCGTTCCAGAGCGTTTTCCGGAACGCTCTCAGAGTGTTCCAGGACGCTCCGAGAAGGCCGCGGCGCCCGAGGCATCCTCCAAAGCCGCAGGATCCCAAAGATTTTCGACTTATCCTCACCCGATGTTATCCTCGTCCTGGCTTCGTCTCAGGGGTGGTGCATGCCAGAGGGGGGTTCGGCCGAAGCCCCCTGGCGGCCCCTGCGTTGCAGGGATAGGGTTCACATGCGGCTGCCTGCAGGAATTCCCGAGCTATCTCGTCCCGATGTTGGCTTCTTCCCTGTGTTCAGTATCGTTTACCGCATCCCCATCGGGCCATGGCGTCTCAACCCCATCACCACCATCCCACCATCCCAGTTGGGGATACGCCCCTCGAGACCCGAAGGGAACAGCACATATGATCCGAGGTTACACCCACCTCCAGTGCATATGGGATCGAGTCCCCCCGCCCCCACTAGATGGGATGGGTACGCCCATGAGCCTCGCGAAGGCCTCGCGAATAGATGGCCATGTGGGCGTGGCGTGGTGGAGGGTGCCGGTACTCCCCCCTGTGGGTGTGAGATGGTTCGTCTTCGTCGTCTTCTGTCGTCGTCGTCGTCGCCGTCGCATTGGCGTCGGCGTCGGAGTCGGAGTCGGCGTCTGCGTCGTCGTCGTCGTCGTCGTCGTTGTCGTTGGCGTCGGCGTCGGCGTCATCGTCCACCCCCCATCCCATCTGGGGGGGGTCTGTGGAACCTTGGGACCCATCCCAACTGGGGGCGGGGTGGCTGTGAGCCCTCGACCCGGGATCATATGTGTGCCTGTATTATATATATATATATATAGAGAGAGAGAGAGAGAGAGCGGAGAGAGATAGATAGAGAGAGAGAGAGAGCGAGAGAGAGAGAGAGCGAGATATATATATATATATACATATAGATAGACAGATAGATAGATAGAGAGAGAGAGAGAGCGAGAGAGAGCGGAGAGAGATAGAGGGGTTAATCAGCCAGTGGGGCCCAGGCCACGCCAGTGGGGATACGGCAGGTTCGCGTGGTGGCGACGCAGCGGCGACCCCGCCGCGGGCGCTCGAGGCTGGACGCCGCCAGTGGCCCAGGGTCGGCCCAGTGTAGCGCGACCGGGCGGTCGACGAGCCGCCCCGATCGTGCCAGGGCGAACGGTCCACGCGGCGTCCAAGACCAAGGCCGAAACGTCGTCACGACACGAGCTGTCTGTCGTGCCTCTCCTCCTCCTCCTCCTCCTCCTCCTCCTCCTCCTCCTCCTCCTCCTCCTCCTCCTCCTCCTCCTCCTCGGGGACCGGTCAAGCGATGCTCGTCTGTCGTCACCAGTGGTGGGCGGCGCCGCCCCTTGGGCGCGCGCAGCCCCGCGCCCGCGCGCCGTGCGGCCCGCGGGGCCGGCAGGTGTCCGAGGAGGCCGTGGACAGCGGCGCCCGGGCGGCCGCCGCCTCCCGCGTGGCCGAGGCGCGGGTGGGCCCCTCCGCGCCTCGGCGGCACGCAGGAGGTACGCCCAAAAAGCGCTCCAAGAGCTCCTCCTCCTCCTCCTCCTCCTCCTCCTCCTCCCTCCTCTCCTCCTCCCTCCTCCTCCTCCTCCCTCCTCCTCCTCCCCTCCTCTCCTCCTCCTCCTCCTCCGCCCCGCCTCCGCCTCCGCCTCCGCCTCCGCCTCCTCCTCGCCTCCGCCTCCGCCTCCTCGGCCTCCTCCTCCTCCTCCTCCTCCTCCTCCTCCTCCTCCCTCCTCCTCCTCCTCCTCCCTCTCCTCCCTCCTCCTCCCCCTCCTCCCTCCTCCTCCCTCCTCCTCCTCCTCCGCTCCTCCTCTGTGCCTCCGCCTCCTCGGCCTCCTCCTCCGCCTCCTCCTCCTCCCCCCTCCTCTCCCTCCTCCTCCTCCTCCTCCTCCTCCTCCCCTCCTCCTCCCTCCTCCTCCTCCCTCCTCCTCTCCTCCTCCTCCTCCCCTCCTCCTCCTCCTCCGCCTCCTCCTCCTCCTCCTCCTCCTCCTCCTCCTCCCCTCCTCCTCTCCTCCTCCTCCTCCTCCTCCTCCTCCTCCTCCTCCTCCTCCTCCTCCTCCCCCTTCCCAAGACGGAACGCTTGACCCTCCGAGGGGGGGGGGCTTGAATCCGTGACCCCCGTCTTTTGCAGCCATGGTGGCCAAGACGCTCCAAGAGGCCTCCAAAACTCCCACTCTGCAGGGCTCCCTCCCCCCTCTACGGCCCTTCGCCGGAGTGGCCTTCTCAGGCCTCCAACGTCGACAAAGAATGGGCCGCGAGTGTCACCCTTAGGCCGCGAGGAATGGGGGAGCGATGAATGGGGGGGAGGGGCAGCGAGGGCTGCAGAAAAGAGGCCCTTAGAGGAGCCATTTCGGGCCAAGAGGCCCACCCTTGGGTAAGCTTCTCGATAGACTCATGACGGAGGTTTCTCACGGTTTTAAGCCTTTGGGGGCCCTCGCCAGACCGCAGGACCGTCAAAAAACGATTCAGGATGAAGAGCCGGCCTCGGGAAAAAGGTCCAGCTCGTGACGGAGGTTCTTCGCTGTCGTCGGCCTCTGGGAGCCCTCGCCGGACCTCAGGGACGTCAAAAGACGGCTCAGGATGAAGAGCCGGCCCTGGGAAAAAGGTCCAGACGTCATGGGGGCCCCATATTGAGAAATCGAAGACATCGGATGCCCAGGCTTGGTGCGGGCCCACTCGGGTCTCCCGAGCATTGGCCTGCGGGCCCTGATTCTATAGGCTTACTCTACATCCGCCGACCCCTTTCTTCTTCCCGACCATCATGTGGTGTTACATCCTTCTTTTAAAAGCCGGTGTCCCGCGTGTTCCTCCTTCCTTCATTCCTCCTTCCTCCTCCTTCTCCGCCGTCCGCATGCGTCTCCCCCACCTAGCACAGCGCTTCGTGGCCCCGCTGGAAGCTCCACCGAAGGTCTCAGTGGCGCAGTTCGCATGCGTCTCCCCCACCCAGCACAGCGCTTCGTGGCCCCATACGGAGCTCCACCGAAGGTCCCAGTGGCGCAGTTCGCATGCGTCTCCCCCACCCAGCACAGCGCTTCGTGGCCTCATAGGGAGCTCCACCGAAGGTCCCAGTGGCGCAGTTCGCATGCGTTTCCCCCAACAGCGTCTCGTGGCCCCATAGGGAGCTCCACCGAAGGTCCCAGTGGCGCAGTTCGCATGCGTCTCCCCCAGCACAGCGCTTCGTGGCCCCATAGGGAGCTCCACCAAAGGTGCCAGCGGCGCAATTCGCATGCGTCTCCCCCACTCAGCACAGCGCTTCGTGGCCCCAGAGGGAGCTCCACCGAAGGTCCCAATGGTGCAGTTCGCGTGCGCCTCCCCCAACCAGCATCTCTATATCCGTATGAGTTTGTTCTCTCTCTCTCTCTCTTTCTATGTTTGCTTTCTCCCTCTCATTTTTCCCTCCATCCCTCTCTCTCTCTCGCGTTCTCTCTCTCTCTCTCTCTTTTTCTCTCTCTCTCTCTCTCTCTCTCTCTCTCTCTCTCCCACTCTCACGTTCTCAAAACTTGTTGGCTTGCAGGGCGAGAGCGAACCTCTTCCGCTGAAAGCTAAGCGGGACGCGCACAGCTTTAATTAGCAGAGAAAGGGCTGAATGAAGGTGGGGCCTCACGCGGCCGGGAAAGGGCGAAGCCCAGGGATCAGGCGGTGCCGAAGTGGACGCGCAGGGAAAGGCATTCACTTTCTCAAAACACATGAGCACCACCTTCTCCACGAAAGGACACAATGCGAGCACAATCCCTCTTTCTCTCCCTCTTTCCCTCTCTACAGATACGTAAATGGATACATACCTATACGACCACCCTTCGGGTGATAAGGAGGTTCGGGGGGGGGAGGAACCAACGTCTTACTCGATCGGTCTCACTATCGATCTCATTATCGATCTTACTATAGGTATCGCTCGATCGATCTCACTCTATCGATCTCACAATCGATATCATTCGATCTATGTCATTCGATCGATCTCACCATCGATCTGATTATCGATCTCACAAGCGATCTCACAAGCGACATCACATTCGGTTTCACTATCAGTCTCACTATCGATGTCACTATCGATCTCACAATCAACGTCATCATCATCATCATCATCATCCACAGCATCTCCATCAACGTCATCGACATCATCATCATCATCATCATCGGGGCACCACCATCATCATCACCTCATCACCATCATCATCAACACCAGCATCACCACCATCATCATCATGGGGACACCACCATCGCCACCATAATCAGCATCATCAACATCATCACCATCGGGACACCACCATCATCATCATCGGCACACCACCATCATCATCATTTCATCATCATGAACAACAGCACCAACATCATCATCATCATCATCAGCATCATCATCATCATCGGGACACCATTAGCATCATCATCATCAGCAGCAGCACCATCATCATCAAGATCCTCATCATCGGGACACCATCATCATTGACAACATCATCATCTGCACCATCATCATCATTGGGGCATCATAATCATCAACATCAGCATCATCATCACCAGCATCGGGCCGCCGTCATCAAAATCATCACCATCACCTCAACAGGCGCATCGTCAACACCAGTATCATCGGGACACCACCACCGTCATCATCATGAACATCATAACCATCATTGGGACACCATCATCATCAACAACATCATCATCAACCTCATCATCATCATCACTGGGACACCATATTCATCATCATTCGCATTCTCATATCATCTTCATCTCATCATCATCATCACCAGGATCATCAACATCATCATTATCGGGGCACCATCATCATCATCATCAGGAACATCACCATCATCAACATCATCATCACCGGGACACCATCATCACCACCACCATCACCGTCATCATCATCATCAACAACATCGTCAACATCATCATCATCGGGGCACCATCATCATCACCACCATCATCATCACCATCATCATCAACATCGACATCATCATCATCATCGGGACACCGACGGGACACCGGCGGGACACCGCGCGCCACCGGCCCCCGGTCAGAAATCATTTGGTCTGGCCGCGCTTCAGCCGGAGGCGGGACACTGGCGGGACACCGCGCGCCACCGGCCCCCGGTCAGGAATCATTTGGTCCGGCCGCGCCTCAGCCGGAAGGGGGACACCGGCGGGACACCGCGCGCCACCGGCCCCCGGTCAGTAATCATTTGGTCCGGCCGCGCCTCAGCCGGAGGAGACTTTCTTCTCGCCCGCCCACGCAGCTTCGCCTCGCCCGCACGCACGGCACGCACGAACACGAATCCGAAACCGATTTCTTTGTAGGGGGGCTGTCCGTCCCACTTCGATATCACCCCTTCACCTCCGATTCAATTACATGCTATCGTTATATATGATACTTGTCAATTTTTGAACATGAGTACAAACATACATTGATACGCACATGCCTATACGACCACTTTTCGGGTGATAAGGAGGTTCGGGGGGGAAGGAACCATTGTCTCACTCGATCGGTCTCACTATCGATGTCACTATCGGCGTCGCTCGATCGATCTCACTCGATCGATCTCACAATCGATATCATTCGATCTATTTCATTCGATCGATCTCACAATCGATCTGACCATCGATTTCACTATCGATCTCACTATCGATCCCACAATCGATTTCACATTCGGTCTCACTATCGATTTCACTATCGATATCATTCGATCTCACAATCAACGTCATCATCAACATCATCGTCATCAACGTCATCCACATCGTCATAATCATCATCATCTGGACACCATCATGATCATCACATCATCACCATCATCATCATCATCACCATCATCATGGGACACCACCATCATCTACATCATCATTATCGGGACACCACCATCATCGTCATCGGAACACCACCATCATCATCACCACCATCAGCATATCATCATCATGAACAACATCACCAACATCATCATCGGGACATCATCATCATCAGCAACATCATCACCATTATTGGGACACCATCATCACCGCCACCATCGTCATCATCACCATCATCATAATCGGGACACCATCATCAGCAACATCAACATCATCATCAGCATCACCATCATCGGCCCACCATCATCAAAATCATCATCATCCCCTCATCATCATCATCGGGACACCATCATCGTCATCATCTTCCTCAACAGCATGATTTGGACACCATCATCATCACCATCATCATCAACAGAATCAGCATAAACCCCATCATCCTCATCATCGGGACACCATCATCTGCATCACCTTCGTCATCCTCATCATCTTCATCACCATCATATCATCATCATCAACATCATCAGGATCATCACATCAGCATCGGGGCGCCATCATCATCAGCAGCGACATCATCATCATCAACATCATCGTCATCGGGAGACCATCATCACCACCACCATCACCATGATCATCAACATCGTCAACATCATCATCATCATCACCATCATCATCATCATCATCATCATCG